TTGTCAGTCTTCATGACAGTAGGCCAAAAGGAAGAAACAAAGAGTCATGACAGTGAATCTCCTGAGAGAAATACAAAACTTGCAAACTAGTTTTAGCAAACTACTTACTACTCATGTCTATTCAGATGCAACTTGCTATTCAGTGAAACTGACTCCCTAGTACAACACCAAGAACATCTTGACAAAATACAGGCCTGTGACTAACACTGATATTTTCCCCCCCTCCTGTATGATTTTAACACCTATGCCTGGTGAAAAATGCAGTGGAGTTTTGAAAGCTTGTGACATGTACTTTGTGTATTTCAGTTGGACCAATAAAGGGATCATTATTTTGTGGATTTTGAATGCTATTGTATGTTGCTATATGGCCAACACGGCAACTCCTAGATATGTTCCCTAGTGCAGGGTTAGGATAACTGTGGGCCTAAGCAGACTGCCAGAAATAGTGCACATTAAATTGAGGCACTGCCCTGGCTCAGTGCTAGGGAATCACATTATTGTATTTTTTTTTTTTTGTGAGACATTGAGCCTTCTCTGTCAGAGAGCTCTGGTGCCACAATAAATTACAGTTCCCATGATTCCCTAGCACTGAGCCAGGGCAGTGCCTCAATTTAATGTGCACTATTTCTGGCAGTCTGCAAAGGCCTTGTGTCCCTCCAGATGCTGATCTGCATCTCTCATGAGACCCCACCATTGACTATGGGAAATGAAATGATGTGCAGGCCAAAGTCATCTATAGGGCCATTTGCTTCCTATCCCACCCTAGTACATGAGTTTAGGATTGCTGTCTTTGCTGTCACCATAGATTTACTATTCTTTCTGTCTATGTTGTTGAGGGGCTCCATTCTTATAATTATTTCAGCATCCACTCTCACTTAATCTTCTCCCACCCCGACATATACACCTCCAGTGTTATTACTACTATTTTAATTTAAAAAAGGAACGTAGAGCAAAGATACATAAAACTGCCAACACGTCTTGGATATGCTGCAAATGTAAAGGGCTGTTCTGACTGATCTTAGAAGGGCCTAAAATGGATGCTGTTTATTTCCATGACAACAGCACCTATCTTTGATACTTATCACAGGCCTGTCATGGTTGTGTAAAATATGCCTTAGTAAATTGTTGTGTTGTAAGCTGCTCTGTTTAAATTATTCAAAAGTTGTTACTATGGAATGGAAAGCTTTGTTTGTCCAGGTTTCACACAACAAGTCTAATGGTCTCTATTGACTGCTGAACTGTGGAAGATCTCATTAGAGATCTGTGTTGTGTGTGCCTAGGACTCATGCTACAACTCCTGTATACTTTGATCATTATTCTTCTTTGCTGGAAGATGTCTTAAATATATAGAAATGTTACTGACAGAAGATCCTTCATTGAATGGCTAGAATACATGCAAGATTTCATTAAGGCTAGAAGGTACATATGTCATCCATGCTCTGCAGTTTTTGTGTGTGTGTGTGTGATTTGGACATTTTCAACCTGCCTTTCAGTATCACCATTCCCACAGTGGTTTATAAAAGTTAGTACAATCAGCCCTCCTTATCCATGGATTCTTTATTCACGGATTCAAGCATACACGGCTTGAAAATATTAAAAAAGAATATAAAGTCCAAAAAGCAAACCTTGATTCTGCCATTTTAAATAAAGGACAACAGTTTACTATCCTTTGTATTTGATGGAGCTTGAACAGCCATGGATTTTAGGAAACACGGTGGGTCCTGGGACCAAATCCCAGTAGGTACCAAGGGCCCACTGTAAAACAAAATGAAACAATATCAACAGAATATCAGCAGAGTTGTCAAAATGTTGATAAAAGAGCAGAGAACAGTAAGGATGAAATGGCAGAATTGGGGGCTGATTAAGCATTTTATTTTCTTTTTTAAAGCCTGACTTCAAAGTTATTCCATTCCGTCTGCCCACCATCCTGGTTTCATGTTCTCCATACCCCAATGGTCACCTAGCATTTTGTGACCACTGAGCATGCACATCTCTAATTGGTCTGCTTGGAAGAGAGGGCTAACTAAATACTTTCCCCCCCCCCC